GATGCAGCTGGCAAGTGACAAAGGAAACAGTTAAACCAAGCAGCCCCCTTTACAGAACATTAGCTCTTTCTCCTACTATCTATTGTGGACACCATGCTGAAATAGGCATTTTAGGCAGCAGGCTGGAGGTCAGATTGCTGCTGCTCACTGACCACATTGAGGAGTTGGGGGAAAGATAGCAGGGAAGTTTTCAAGGCTGGCACTGCCTACAAAAAGGAATGGGAACATGAAGACTGAATTTTTCCTTAGAGATTCAAGCGTCTGAGTTCCTTAGAGAGGGATCTTTTGCAGAACAAACATAATATTGTTAAGTTCAGAGCTGCATAAGAAATGCACTTGGTGGGCAAGTGAAATGATAAGATGAAAGTGAGTCCAGACAGTCTGGAAACAAATGCTTTAGGGCATGACTGGCATGCTTCATCAGCTGCATGTGAGCCGTAAGTCTGAATACACTGGAGGGATGCCTCATGAGGCCACAGTTGTCTTGGTTCAGTTCTTTGGTACATCAAGAGAATACTCTGCTCTCTGACATTTGTACTAATGAGGGCTTTCTTATACTTCAAAAGGTGCTATACAAGAATCAGGTTTTCAAATTCTTCCCTCAGTCTAACCTGAACAGCTGCTAGAAGGTAGATAAGAGACATCATAGAACACAGATGTAATTAGTAGGAACACGTTCCAAAATCAAATTAATACTTACAAACTCCAGCCTGTACTTCACACTGAAGATAGAGCTGCAAACAGTTTACATATATGTATACCACAAAAATTGTAAAGACATGAGCAGTATTTGTCAAAAAGTCTGTAAGCACTTCAGAAGACTCATAAGCACACAGCTGACTTGCTGGGACTCACAATAAACTATTAATCATTTATTAAGTATCCATTAATCATTAAGTCCTCATTAACTTTTTATGAGCATGCTCTTAACAAAATCTATACCCAGGCTGAGTTTCAAAATTTCATAATTGTTTCTGAGAAGCTCTAGTGTAAGGCTGGCTGGCAGCTCCCGTTACTCCTCCACAGAGAAACCATGAGGACCTAGCACACTGTTCTTAGTCTTCAGAAACCCAGTCTGTGGGCTCAGAAACCCACTGCTGTGTGGCAATGAACAGGGTTTAGCAATTTTTAATTTGGGATTTAGCTGAAGGGAAACAAAAAAATCCAATTAACATTTTTTGCTCATGTGAGTCTGATTTTGCTAAATGCTGAAGGATCACTGGGATGGTGGTTAGAATACTTCTGACTAAATTACATTTTGCCTAAATACTATGCTCCATTGAAGCCAAAATATTTCTAAGATTTATCAGATTAAATGAAGTTTCACAGTGGTGTACTGCATTCCCTGAGTAATTCTGAAGGTTAGCATAGATACTTGTTTAGGTCTCACCAGGGAGAGAAGACAGTAAAAAAGCCTTGATATCTGAGGACCAGAAAGAAAAATAGGAAAAAAAAAAGGGTTCCGCACACTTTTGTTTGGAAAAAATACCTGAAAAGTTTCATTCTGGTTCAAATGCTGAATAAAAAGATTAGTTCTGGAGAGTGTGACACAAAAGAAAATATTCATCTTATTCCTTTATCTAGACAGCGGATGCACGTGCAATGAACGCAAATAGGTTCAGAGTTACCTGATGAGAATTGAAGTTTCATGCTACCAGGCCACCCACGGCAGGTATTTTAGGAGCTATCTCAAGTATTCTTTAATTCTAGAAAGATCAGGTTGTTAAAGACTGCGTCAGAGTGGGAAATTCCATAGCCCAGGGACCAATGATTTCAAGAGATCTTAGCTCCAGCAATCATGCTAACAGTCTTCAAATCCCTACATACCTTTATAAATTAGAAATTGGCAGAAGGCAGAAAAAGGATCATATTCCTACACCTCTGTCATGAAACATCAGGCAGATGCCAAGTTCCCTTATAGCCTCAATAGAGTATGTTTGCATCATTTTTAATTATGCATGCACTGCTGACAAGCTTGCTCTTTATGTATTTATTAAAGATGATTAAAAATAGTAAAATCTGTATTAATGTTTGTATCTTTCATGACAAATCATGAGTAATCAATTTTAAATGCATAATTCAAGTGATATAAAATTGAGCCTTCTGGTTATTCTACAGAATTTTATAATCACACACAAAAGATCATTTATATTTGTATACAACATGACACAGAGGGTATTTCATCTTACTTTTTCAGTCCTTTCTTCATATAGTTGTGGAGACTAATCCACCATTCTGCGTGCTTAGACTGGGCAAATGCCACAGTCTAATTAGTAAGACAAAAGAGCCTGGCCTCTTTACAGTCCCTGCTTTTCTGGTCTGCACAGCAACTATGTACAGAAGTTCAATTTCAAATGATAAAAAAGACAGACCTCCATGCTAATTAATGCTCAAAATACATCTAAACACAGCACCAGCAGGAAACAGACTCCAATGTCATTATTAGACCAGATTTCCTGTCTTGTTTCTATTAATCGCCATTGGGCTGGTTCTGTGTAGGCCACACAAGGTTAATCTAGAACTAATGATTTTGAATCACTGAAAACTGTCTAATTTAGGATGGCACCAAAGTAGGTTACATCACCACACTGGAGGCTCCAGTTGTCAGGATCCATAAAATTTTTCATTTGAATCACCTCTTTTGGTCAATTGCAAGCAAATTTGCAGTTAAGATCTCTTGCGTTAAGGTTAACAGGTGATTTTGATGCAATATTTTTTCTTTCTTTCTGAACAGTGAAACTTTCAAGCAATACAAGCACAACTATAGCAATAAAACTGTTCACTTTTCCTGGAAAGCCGAAGTTACAATACTTCGACTGCACAGGTATTAAAATAAACCTAGGGACAGGTTCCTGTTAGCCAAAAGGACTGCTTATGGCTATGAAATTTGACTCATAACATCTTTAGGAATCTGGATAGGTTACCTCATCAACTGTTTCCATTTCTTAGGTACTTAGATAAATGAACTTTTAAACATTTTACCCCCTCTAGGTACCTTTGACATTACTGAAAACATTTTATGTGCAGCTCTGTACTTCAACACCCACCTATTCCAAGTGAGGCAGGACATAAAGCTATTCAAATCTCCCCCCACCTTGAATAATTCACTGTTTCTTTATCTCATCTTGTCTAAACATAGCAAGGAAGGGAAGAGGTGAAGAAATGCCCAATGAACAATAGGGCTACTTCCCAAGACAAACCTAAAAATGCCTGATCATCCTACAAACCAAATTGTAAACTCATAGGACCCAACCATTTTAGCAGTACCAGAGGCTTCTGCCTGTGGCTTTGCCCGTTTGAAGTGCTGCTATACAGCAACCAGTTCCATATACCACCTGTTCCTTAATGGGTGCAACTGGATGCAGAGATAAAGTGGCATTTCAGTCATGTTGGAAAGTGGTCATTATGCCTCAAAAGCTGCCCAAAACTATGCTTGGGTGGGAACAGAAAATGCTGAATGTGAGAAAATATAGTGCAGCACAACCCTGTCATGCTGATCCTTTGCCATATCTATGCTTGAGAGGGAACTGTGTGGAACTGCTTCATAGGAACACTCAAAGGAAACAGCCAGAAAAAACAAGGAAAAAATACCTCAGTTCATATTTTTCCAAACTACAGAGATGGACTTAAATACTCAAAAGGTATTATGATAAACTGTATTTAAGCAGGAAAATCATAGAATAGTTAGGGTTGGAAAGGACCTTAAGATCATCTAGTTCCACCCCCCCTGCCATAGGCAGGGACACCACACTAAAACATGTCACCCAAGGCTCCGTCCAACCTGGCCTTGAACACCGCCAGGGTTGGAGCATTCACCACTTCTTTGGGCAACCCATTCCAGTGCCTCACCATCCTCACAGTAAAGAACTTCTTCCTTATATCTAACCTAAACTTCCCCTGTTTAAGTTTGAACCCATTACCCCTTGTCCTATCACTATGGTCCCTAATGATGAGTCCCTCCCCAGCATCCTTATAGGCCCCCTTCAGATACTGGAAGGCTGCTATAAGGTCTCCATGCAGTCTTCTCTTCTCCAGGCTGAACAGCCCCAACTTTCTCAGCCTGTCTTCATACGGGAGGTGCTCCAGCCCTCTTATCATCCTCGTGGCCCTCCTCTGGACTTGCTCCAACAGCTCGATGTCCTTCTTATGTTGAGGACACCAGAACTGTACACAATACTCAAGTGAGGTCTCATGAGAGCAGAGTAGAGGGGCAGGATCACCTCCTTCAACCTGCAAATACCTATTAATATAAAATTTCACTACTTACTTGCAACTTAAGCAAAATCAGAGAATTTGTAATAAATTAAACCAAGTTTAGAAACAAAACACTGCCATGTGATGCACACATCATCCATTGTATTATACAGCTACAGCGATTCTGTATGCAATTGCAGTGCTACAAATGGATCACACTTTGGAACAGAAAGCTAAAATAGATGTACTCACATGGTATCACACTATATAAATATTCCATTTTATTTTCCTTATTAGTTCAACACCCTATCATCAGACTCTCTTTCACTGCGTTCGTTCAACTATGTTCTCTGAAAGTGCAAATTCAAAGCCTGAATTTTGATTCAAATCATGTATTTAAGAATATTTTATAACTACTTAACAACTACAGTTTTAGAAAAGAGAAAGAAAAATGTTTACATATTTATTCTAAGAAGAGGAATTAATCAAACACGTACTCAGAGGCATACCCATACACGAGGCCAGCATACTGAGGTAACATCACTTGTTGAAGAGACAGCAGCACATGAGGAAACACGTGCTCTTGAAATAGAATACTCAGTGTGTAGGCTGGGAAAATTGTATCATAATGGGAAAAGGAAGAGACTTTATGCAAAATGTAAAGATAAGCCTTTCTTTTGTTTTTTTTTTTCCATGAAAGTGTTGGTGTTACTTCTTAATAAAGGACTTCAACACATTAATTATTACCTGATTCACATACTATGGAGCCTGGCTTCAGTTCTAACATCATGGTGATTATAGAGATGTCAGTGGAATACAGAATCTGTGTCCTGTGTGGAAGATTCATGGTCCACAGTTCTGGAGTTGGATGAAGAATAAACACCCATCCTCCTTTACTGCAGGTCACTTTGGAGCCATACTTCTTGCCTATGAGGTCTGTGGAATGCCTGATGACCCCATACTTAGTCTGAGTTACATTGCCGTGTTGGACTTTCACAGGAAACATGGAGTCATGGCCCAAGAACACAATAGCTGTGTCACCATCCTTTATCGTATCTCCATATTCGACAAAACTCATTGTGACAGTCTTGTAGCTTGCTGATGCTCATCACCTAGAAGAGAAAAAATATGTCAAACGAGTTTTGCAGCATCATGATGGAGACATAAACTGAAGTAATTTTATTTTCCCCAATACCGAATGAAGCCACACTGTACAAATATGATGTTAGCAAGAGAACTTCACAAAGTTCAGGAACCTCCCGCTGCTGCACTCTTGATCTAATTAAAATCAATTGAAAGATCCCACAGATTTGAATATAACCAGTATTTTTCCCATCTTATGGTACGTTTTAAAGAAAATTCAGGAAATACATTATAATTTACTCAGCCTGCTCCACAATACTGAGAAACTTGCAAGTTACTATGATGTCAGCACTGTTCAATTCCAGCTCACAAGCTCTCAAGAGTTTAAGTGGAATAAGTCTTAGAGTTGTAACTCTTAAAGAGTTATACCACAAGCTCTTAAGTGGTAAATTTCATTTCCATCTGCTGGCTTTACTATGGTGATTTACAACATAGGACAATTATTATTTTCCTGGGTATAAATCACTAGTTATTAGTACCACTAACAAAAGTTTATTTGAAAGTTTTCCAAATGAAGATTTAGAGATAGGATAAAGGTAGCATATGTATTAACTTATGCATAGATTTAACTAACTACAAGGATAAAAGAATATTGTGGCCTTTAATTTACCATCAGGGGCATAAAGTAATTGTCTGGGAAGTGATCTGTGCTGCAACTAAATGCAGACAACCATTTGCAAGCTAATACAAACACCTGTATTATTTTAGCTCCATGGTATCAAAGTTGTTCAGAGAATTACAATTAAGTTTTGTTTTTGAGAAGACAATCTAAAAATTAGAAGACACATTACAGTGAAACCTGGCATTGCCTTTCAGATAAAGCAGCTAACTATCTAAACTGCAGGTTGATCAGTTCATGGGAGGAATTGTTTAATGAAGTAACGGTCATCCTGAAGTTTTCTAACATCAAAGACTAAGACAGAAGGCTTTGAAAGCCAGATTTCTGGAACTCCTTCCATGACAGAATTAAAAGCAGTACTTTTAGCTTCAGAATAATGATTTGATTCCACCACTTTTGTATTGCAGGCATGACAGCCTGGTCCTACTTCACTGTTTTAATGAAAAGCTTTTAGTTCTCAAATTCTAGTCTCTTTTTGTTGACCAAAACTTGTGTAGTTCAGTTTGCTGTTAAGGAGCTAGATTTGTAATTTTTCCACTGCAGTCACTGAGACTGATAAGCAGATGTGCTTGTGGTCAAAACTTCCAAAGCTTATGACATGCTTATTGCATAATGTATTCAGATGCCAAAGCACAATAGGCCTGTCTGGACATATGGCAAAATAGTAAGAAGGGCATCCCACAAATTAAGAAATGTACGCATATTGGACTTTATGATATAGTACAAATGCTTAACCATGTTTAATAGCTTGCACTTTCTGATGATAGTCCTGTCATAAGCTTTCAGAAATTACATTTGTAGCTCTCATTCTATATACCATTAAAGCAATGTAGTTTTCAGCTCTTAGTAAGAACAGTTCCATTTCAAAGGACCTCGACTGTAACCCATTTCTTTCATGGTATTTAGACTGTAGTTACACCTATGTGCAAAAGGAACATCCCTGCAGCATGTTAGCAGGGACATGGAGAGAAGTATTCTCCCTTTGGTTACACAAACTAGCTTCCAGTTTCTTTGCCTTCCTTTGAGCCGCCACGCTTAGCACAGCTAATTGTCACCACACTGTATGCTGAGATCTCAATGTGACAAATCTCTCAGACTCAGATCTCACCTGGCACATTGTATTCATACGTGGGGTAAAATCTGGGGTGTGTGAGGAGTTCTGGTAGTTTGTCTCCCCTATGCAATAAGCAGTGATCTACACTCGTTTTCATTCATTTGTAATCATTTTCTGTTCCACCAGTGCAGAGCCTCATGTTGTTACATTTCTCTCCTTCACCCTCTGGGTAGCACACAGATGTCTTGGTACAGAGTTACTTTTGCCACACGTGCTGTGGAGTACAAGGGAAGACAAGGTAGTGCCTTGTGGCAAGGGCTAAGTGCTTTTCTATGGGCCATGACTGCAACGACCTAAACTCGAATGACCCAGGCAATCCCTGAGCAGCCTCACGAATTAAACCACTAAAACGATTCCGTGTTCCCTTCAACCAAAACCCAGATGCCTCTCCTGACCAGCTTCCACGCAGGCCTGGCAGGCTGCCTCTTCCCTCTCTGAAAAGCTTGGCTGCTTGGCACGGTAGCATGGGGAACCTCCGCGGAGAAGGAGGAGGAGGAGGCAGGCAGAACCCTCTCACCGCGGGGCAGCGCAGGGCCCCGGTAACACGAAGGCCGGTGGCACACCCAGAGCGCTGTCCCCCATGGGCTGTTTCTCCCTGCGGCCCCTCCGCTGAGGGTCGTGAGGGCGATAACGCGGCTCCCGCGCCCTGGGAGCACATGAGCCGGTCCCAGCGGACCCGGGAAC